GAGCGGTTCCAAGACGGGCCAAACCCGGGCCGAGCGGTGCCGGGCTGAGCTGCCGGGCTGAGCTGAGTGTACCCCGAGCTGTCCCGAAGCCGGTCCGGTCCGGTGTAACGCAAGCCCCCTCAGGCGCTGCCCCTGCCGTCCCCCGCCGGCGCCATGCTCATCAAGGAGTACCACATCCTGCTGCCCATGAGCCTGGAGGAGTACCAGGTGGCCCAGCTCTACATGATCCAGGTGGGGATGCGGGGCTGGGCAGGAGGGCCTGGGGGGCTGTGGGGCTGGGCATGAGGGCCTGGGGGGGCTGTGGGGCTGGGCATGATGGCCTGGGGGGTCTGCGGGGCTGGGCAGGGAGGGGGCTGAGTCTGGGGGCTGCACGCATCTGGGGTTTGTGGGGCTGAGCCTGGGGGGTGTGGGGCTCCAAGGTCCAAGACTGAGGGGATTCACAGCCTGTGGGGCCAGGTGTGGGGAGCTTGAGGGGTGCAGGGATCTGGGGACTGAGACTGAGGGGGTGCAGGGGGCTGAGAGAGTCTGGAGACTGTAGCCTGGGGGGTGCAGTGGGCTGTGGGGGARCATGAAGGGTGCAGGGGCTGAGCCTGGGGTTGCACAGGGGGCTTTGAGGCTGAGCATGGTGTGTAGGGGGTCTGAGTGTGGGGAACTGGGAGGTTATAGGGCTGACCGTGGAGTCTGAAGGGGCACGGGGGAGCCTCAGGCTGATCCCAATGAATTGGCAGGTTGTAGGGGTGTCAGTGAGGCTTTGGGTGGTTTGGGGCCGCTGAGGCAAGCAGGGAGTCGTGCGAGTAGATGTGGCTCTGGTGGATGCCAGCACATGGGGATGGGAATGTACAAGGACCCTTGGGGATCATGGCTGTCTCGGGACTTGTGGGGACCACACTAAGCCATCATCTCTATGCAGAAAAAGAGCCGGGAGGAGTCGAGTGGCGAGGGTAGCGGAGTGGAGATCCTGGCCAACCGGCCTTACAGTGACGGCCCTGGGGGCAGTGGCCAGTACACCCACAAGATCTACCACGTCGGCTCCCACATCCCCAGCTGGTTCCGGGCRCTGCTCCCCAAAGCTGCGCTCCAGGTGGAGGAGGAGTCTTGGAATGCTTATCCCTACACACGCACCAGGTGGGAGCAGGGAGGTGGTGGGGTGATCTGTGGGGCTGGCTGTGCTCTGTGCTCAGTCCTGATCCTCTCCAGGTACACGTGTCCCTTCGTGGAGAAGTTTTCCATTGAGATYGAGACATACTACCGCCCGGATGCGGGGCAGCAGACCAACATCTTCAACCTGAGCGTGGCGGAAAAGAGACAGAGGATTTTGGGTGGGTATGGCTGGYTTTGGGAGGTGGGCAGGACCCTGTGGCTGCTGGGATTCCCACACAGTGTCCCCAGGTTGGATGTGTGGATGTGGAGGGGCCTTAGGGGCTCGACTTTACTCTCCTGGTGAACATGGGACCCCGCACTTGGGTCCTGTGGGGTGTTTCGGATCAGCTGGAGYAGGGAGAGCTGGAAAAGCATG